AAAATACACGAGATTTGGATTCTATTGCGAGCAAAATAATTTACAACGGAAAGAAAAATTGCCTCCCAGGAAAAATTGCACAGGTATTAGTCATTACAATTTCTCTTATAACGAAGTAGAACGAATAGAATCGAAAGTACGTGACGTATGGAACCAGATGGCGCGATGGCGTTACTTGAACTTGAATCAACTTGAATCGAATCAAATTACACCAATGCAGAAAAATAATAGTGATTCGTAATTAAAATTGTTTAAAAACCTTTTTAATTTTCAAGCTCGTTTTATCATCGTATATTTCGATTCTCAAAGATTCACGGAAAATTAATGTTCACCAATATAAATATGGTATCATTTAAATTACATTTCGTAAACAGCATACCATTGTTTTACATATGAATATAAATAATGTGAATATAATCATTATCAATTTAAAGAAAATGATACTCCAAAGTGTTCTTCTATATTAAAACAAGAAAGACATGGATAACACAGAATTACTATTTTTTGACACATTTTCACACGACATTTCAGAGGTGAGGTTATCTTGTTTACTTTCACGTAAGATACGACACATGTGACAATTTTAACAAATACCTTTCATCCTTTTCAGGAACTTAATTTAGATTTAGTGCAATTTCCGAAACCTGTTTATATTAGCGAAGTTAGAATTATTCCACTGGGTGCTAGAGTACAAGCAGATTTTCCTGGGGGTGTTCGTTTGGGGTAACTAATGATTTCCTTATGTTAAAATAAGGAAACTATATTTGAAGTTGTTCAATCTCTCAATCTAATTTCAGAGCAACAAATCCATCACAATTTGAAATTGAATTTTTTGTAAACGATTTAAGTAAGCCTGGAGCTTCTACATTTGAATCTCTAGGAGAACTAGAATACAAACAAAATATTCATATTCAATTGGAATGTGAGAGAAAGCAGATTCCCACGGATGGGTTGGTATTAAGAGGATGGTATACTACCATCACTTTAGCTGTATATGGAACATTGACAAAATCTTTGAATAATCCTCAAGAAGTTATTAGTTCAGCTGCTGGTTCTGCAGCTTGTGCGAGTGGATTAGAGGAAGTTATAGAAAATACTACTCAAATTTCAGAACAGCAATCTGAGTGGTATTATGAAAATCAAGCGCAGACTAATTCAAGTGTAGGTGGAAATAATATAAAATTAACTATAAATTCATATGATTCTATTTGGAAGTAGGAATCTAAAAATATTTACATGAAATTTATAGGAAACATGTGTGGCAGCAACACCACCACCTCCTATACAACCAATACAAACAATAGAATCATCCAGAAATTCAACATCAGATACTGGAAAAACAGATGTAGGACATTGGGAAGAAGATGGTACCAGTGGTACTCTAAAATCTGTGAAACGTCCTTCTTCACCACCTTCTGAATCTTTGGTATCTTTAAGTCCTGAATCAATATCAGCAGAGGAAGAAGAAGGAGACCAGGATGGTGGTGACCAAGAAACAGGAGAACCATTCGAACCTATATTATCCGATGAAGATATAATGGCAGATGACATACCACCCACTACAGAATATGAATGTGAAAATGTGCAATTAGATGACATTTATTCGTTAAGTCCACCTGATTTATTGGAGCTAGAAAAATCAGTGAATATCATCGAAGAATACACTATTAGCAATGAAATGTTGGATAAGATACACGAAATATTTCAGTCTTTATCAAAGTCAGTTTTACATTTTAATAATGCATCTGGTCAGGAGAAAGAGACATTCGTTCATAATTGCGAGACTTTATGCACAATACTTAGCCCTTTTTATTTAAATAGTTCAGATTTTAATGACTTAACCAATATCGTGAATGCAGGCTTAGATATGGATCTTGCTCGTGCTCAACCTCAACCAGCTTATAAAGTTCGCCACGTCAAAGTTGGTGTACGACTAGCAGAAGCTTTATGTAAACTTTTACAAGGTCCAGATATACTGTTAAAAGTAGATGCCCCTTATAAATTATTAGCATTATGCATGCGCGAAAACGTAGCGCTTCCCGTAAAACTTTCTGCTCTTCGTACATTAGATGCTGCATTGATAAGTCCTATAATTGTTCAAGAGTTTCTTAAGTCAAAAAGTAATCTATATAAAAATGCTTTAATGATGTTAGACACGGCTAAATTAGCAAGATTGAAATATGCCTTGAGTTCATTATTACGGAAAGTACATACTTACGAATTTCTTGATGAAATGAAAGAACTCAACGAATTTGCTGTGACCGAATTAACAAATACGTATGTATGTGCACCAACATTAATGGCTCAACCAAAACGTCAGCTTCCAGCTGGAGCCCAAATGGAATTCGAACGAGAACAAAATCGAAATCCACGATGTCACTTGATAGCATACTTCGAGCATCATAAACTCTTATATCACGTTCTTGTGACACTTACTTCTCCAAAATCAGATATAAATTTAATTAAAGCTACTCGACATTTTCTTTTACGTATTTCAGATACAAAAGAAGGTTTACTATATTTACTGAAAGAACCAGAAATTACTAAATTAATTTTGAAAGCTTTAAAGTGCGCATTACCCGGCGCAGGGTCCGTCTTAGCTTGGCGGCTTCAAGTCGTACAATGTTTATTACATTTAAAATATCAACCTTCTGATTGGTTGGCTTTAAAGAAGCTTCATTCCTTTCTAATATTTCCCGAAGGTTTACAAGCTATAATAACAGTTCTTTCAACAGGGGAATTTATTGATATTTTAATCCCCTATCTATCCGATCCAAATCTTTGTGAATTCTCAGCAGAGATTATATCAGCAACCGTTCGTTATTCCGATCGAATAGAAGTATTTCAAAATCGTGCCGCAATTATTCTAGAAAAGTCGCGGGCTCAGGCTGTTTTAAAAGACATTACATCGTACATGACTACAGCAGCACAACCTGCTCATTGGAATTATGGAGATGTTTCTCAGCTCGTTGCATGCATTAAGAAAAGTGCAGATAAAGCAGCCTCTCTTCCTGGACAATTAATTACCGCATGTAGAATTTTATATTATCTTGTTTTTCCTTCTAATAATGATGTGGATCCAATGGAGCCTTACATCGAATTAAAATATAGAAATGCATTGACTCAGTTATTTGCTGCCGATGGTTTAACAGCTCTTATTGCTGTTATGGCAAATATTTCAGAATTTTATGAACAACCATTTTTGCACCGTGCAGCTCTAACAGGTCGGAGAGGTTTAGCATTAGTTGCATTGCTTCTTCCATGTGTGAAATTAACGCGGGCATTGCTAGAACGTCTTGTGAAATGTATGGCAACAGACTTCAAAGATTTGACGGCTGTAGTACCATTACTTGGCGTTTATTCGTTAGTTGAAGCCATTCCTACCGTTCGAATTGTGCAAACATTGTCTGAAGAAATAGTAGAAACACTTTTAGTTTTCACGCAAGCCGTGGATTCAGATGGATCAGGAAATGTAGCAAAATCATTGTGGACACAGATGCTAGGTGAAGTTCTAAAAATGGTTTCTCTTAGTCCATGTAATTTTATACCTGGCTTGAAACTTTTAACAAGACTGTTACCACCTGTTTTAACTTTAAAGGAAACAATAATTGAGGATGCTGCTCGTGTCCTAGGCTTTAGAAAATTATGGTCTGCTCACTTACAGGCTCAAGCTAATAATTTGATTGAAACGTTACGTTTGCTTTGCGCTAGTTGGAACAAAGATTTACTAATTCTTCTTTCAAAAGTATGCAAACAGTTAAGTGATTTAGCAGCACCTACAGCTTTACTTGTAGGTAGATGTTTATTAGATGGTATAATAGCCTCGTCTTCCCTAGAAAATAATGTTTTAATTCTTGGGTTACTCAGCGAGCTTGCAAGACACGCACCTATGAAAGCTACTTTGTTAACTTTAACTAGTCCCGCTTCTAGAGCACAAGTAAAATCCGATCAAAAATATCCACCTGTTATCGAGATGATGTGCACAGTGCTTAAAAATACAAGTAACATTCGGATTCAATATGAAATCCTTGACATCTTTGAAACATTATGCGATTGTACACTAAGTCTTATGCAGGAAGATGCAAATGAACCTTTTGAAAAAAGGCTCACTCATTCAGTACCAAGCAAGGAACCCCTATTATCTATTCTGGCTGCACTCATCGACATACTAGCGACTAGTACAAAATTTGAAACTGAAGTGCTACATAGTACACTTCGAATACTTTCATCTCTTAGCAGCCATAACTACGGTTTATATCACGTGAAAAGCTGTTTAGAAAATAATCCCGATGCATTACGATCATTATTAGAGCATATCTCTGTATTAGAAGATCCTGAGGCTCAAGCTATCGTAGATTTAACTATAACGTTCTTAGAAAATTTAATTGCGTCTGAATCACAGGGAAGATCTTTATATCTACGTGTACAACAACTAGCATCATTGATATCATGGGATAAAAATGATCATCCCTTGGAAAAGATAAAAAGTGCACAAGAGTTAGTAGAAATTTTGAAGTCTGCAGAAGACAAAGAAGAAAAGGAACCAATTCCAGAAATGTTAGAACCGTTATTGCCAACTCCAGAAGCTTTATTGAATCAATTTTCTCAGCGATGTTTAGGAACTCCAGATCTTGCTTCTAAACGACCGAAGAAATTTACATTTACGTCACCCAGTCAAACACCAAGCGAAAATACAGTGGATTTGTTAGCCCTTGCAGCTGAATTACTTCCTGCTGATTTTAATCTACTAACAGAAGCTCAAAGTTTATGCTCTAAAGCACCTCCTGATGATGCTACTCAACCACTACAATCGAAAACTCAAGCCGACGATCAAGAAACTAGAGACATTCAAAAGCAATCAACATCACCTGTTTCTAAAGTAAAACAACCGTTTGGTAAGTTATAGAAATGTACATATTTATTACATTTTACAATATTGAGTAAAACTTCGTAATAATATTATATAATGGTTTTATACATCCACAGATATCATTGAATAATTTTTCTTTTGTCCTTTTCTCTATTATTTTTCAGTTACGCCTATGAGAGGTAGAACGCAATTTACCAATTCTTTAAGGGGTGGACCTGTCGTGGGAGGTGTAGGTAGAGGGGCAGATCCATTTAGATCCAGACCACCAAACACTTCGCGACCACCATCTCTTCATGTTGATGATTTCGTAGCATTAGAAACATGTGGAGCACAACCAACAGGACCTACAGGTTATAACAAACTTAGTATCCGCGGGACCTGTCCTTCTCGAGCGATCAATGCAGGAACAAGAAGTAGACCTTGGGCACAAGAAACACGACCTCCTTACCTCCGTTAATTTTGTATTTAGTTAAAAAGAAATAATGTTTATTCGTAATAACACTGATTTTGTAATTTGCCATTTACAATGCAATTGAAGATTTCATAATAATAAATTTAATATATGATACAGTAGACTTTGTGTATGATCCTTTCAATACCATTTAGGTAATTAATAAAACAAACATTCTTCAAAAGTTAGAATTTTAAACAACTTGAATTAATATTAAATTCAGTTTTTAAATTAAAGAAAAGTGTAATAAAAAATTGTTGCTTGTCTACGTACACTACTTATTATTCATAAGTATATTCATGGACATTATTTTTTATTAAGTCTCTCGATTTTTTCTTCCCATTCAACATACAATATTTTAAAATTGTTATAGTCATTTCTCAGTTTCCTCACTTCCTTACGATTGTATCTATTCTGAAACACCAATGAATATGAAAATGTAATTTCGTAACCTGTACATTTTAAAATATCTTTAAGAATAATTACATACCTCACTTGCAAAAATATCAAACAATAGTTTTTCAAATCTTTTTATAGTTTCAAAGAATCGTTGAGAAGGGTTCATCTTGTTCTGTAATACAAATTCCATCAAAAATAGTATATAACGAAAATCTTTGTGATAACATGCCATGTATAAGAGTGTTTCTATAATGACAGCATTTGGCACAAAACCAATGTTATTCATTTGTTCTAAAAAAACCATTCCATCTTTAAGATTTGGACATCCAAGAGCCAGTACTCCAAATGTCATAATATTTGGTCGAAGATTATATTGTTGTATTTGATTAACAACATCCTATATTCAAATATAAATTAACATTATAATAGGTAAAAAGTATGTAAATTGCATTATAAATTGTTAATTAACAAACAAATAACTTACTTTTGCTTCTTTGTACTGTTTCCTAATATTTCTTTTGTGAATAAGTATATTAAAAAAACTAATATCCACTTTTACATTTTTAGCCCTGACTAGGTCAAGGAAAACTTTTTCTGCTTCCAGTGAAGGTGGAAGTAATTTTAACAACATTGAAATTATCTTAACATCAGGTTGTACATCATCATTTTCCATTTTTTTCCATATATTTTCAATTCCTCCAAATAAAATTAATCTATTCTTTTCTAATATGTCATTTAAATTTTGAGACAATATTTCATTTCTGTCAATCACAACTGCCTTTGAATCATTGTCTACTGACATCTGATTTGTGGACTTATTTTTTTGTAATACCTCTTTCATCATTTTAAGAAATGAAATACTTAAAACTGGTGGGGAATCTAATAAGTCCATTTTTCCTGTTTCATTCAGATTAACTTGAGTACCTAATAATTTTGATATTACAATATCATTTACTTTTAAGTCTCCAAAATTTAAATCTCTAATTGCTCTCAGAAGTAGATTGTAATGAATTATTGTTGGCTTTACATTATTTTTTCTCATCTGATACCATAAAGTTAAAGCATATTTTAAACCATTTTCTTTATCGGAAATTGCTGAGTGAAATAGAGAAGCATATATATTTGGTGAAATAAGATATTTGTCCCTTACTTCATCTGCTATTTCAAAAGCAGTTGTAATTTGTTTATGCCAACTGTAAGCTTTTATTAAAGTTGTATAATGTGATTCATTTAAAACATAATTGGTCTCATAAAAATGTTGTCTTAAAGAATGCAACTGTTCTAATGCTTTCTCTGTATTTTTGGATATTGCACAAGCATTTATTAAACTGTTATATGTTGCTCCAGTAGGAGTTAAACCATATCTTTTCATTTTGTTATACAGCTTAAAACATGTTTTAATATCTCCTTGTAAAGAAAATGCACGAATTAAAAGATTAAACATAAATACTGTAGGTTTGCTACGATTTTCCTTCACAGTATCTAATACACTTAATGCTTGTTTTAAATCTCGTCTTGATATGTAAGAAATAATAAGTTTATGATATTGACTATCTCTTAATTTATGCCAGTTTGGAATTTTTGCATCATTTTCTGTAAACCTTTCTTCTTCTAATTCATCCTCATCCATTTCAACTCCTTCATATTTTTCATATGAAAGATCTCCAAAAACGTCGGCATCGTTTGGTAAACTTTCTGTATGCAATTTTCTTTGGAGATTCAATGAATTTAAAAGACATCTTTGAATGTCCATTCTCAATGAACTATTTTTATTAAATCCATCTTTGTTACACAATAAAGAACATAAATGGCTTGTATTGACATTTGTATAAATACTATAATTGTATGCCTTTATTATGCATAAACATGGCCTTCTTTGTTTAATACAATGAATGTGTTCGTTAATATAACCTGTGAGAATTTTCGACTTTATAAGGGAATTCGTTTTCGATAAAAACATATTGAACACAGTAACTTCTCTTTTTTATAAAGTTCTATTAAACAAACTTAATTTATCATTTAGAAAATAAATTATTTCTAGATAATCATATGTTCATGGATTGTGATTGATACTCGAACAATACTTGCATTACCATTGTATTTGAACTATATGGAACTATACACACCAATAAGCTATTCACTGAATGCATCTAGAATGTTTGTTGCTCAATGAGCGAGTACCAATGGCGCCATCGGTGGCGAAACGTCCAAGTTTATAGTGAATACAGGGTGTCCCAAAAATGTTGTAACACCCTGAAACTTGAAATGGATGGTTCGGGAGGTGATTTGAAACAACTTTTTCCTTAGCGAAAATGTTATCCGAGGCTTCGTTGAAGAGATATTAACGGAAAACACTGACCAATCACAGCGCGCGTATACCGTTGGAGCGGCTGCGATAACGAAGGCTATGTGTTAAGCGGCCGCGCTTGTACGCGACAAGTGACTCAACGTGCATCGAAGGCCATTGACGCGGCCGCTTAGTTTGTAGCCTTCGGTACGCTGATTGGTCGGGGGTTTCTCTTAATATCTCCTCAACGAAGCCTCGGACAACATTTTCGCTAAGGAAAAAGTTGTTTCAAATTACCTCCCGAACCACCCATTTCAAGGTGTTACAACATTTTTGGGACACTCTGTATAGTTCCCTACTGCTGCTGCTAGATGACGCCACTAACAAAAGGGTCGATAATTGTTGCTGCATTAAATAACTATTCTATTATTACTTCGATTTCGTAGTAATATAATTGATGCACTAACGTTATCTTGAAACCAGAGAAGTCATAAATATTGGTGAAATAAAAATTTGGCCGTCACTAAATATGTACCGAATTACCGCCATTACGTTAACGTTAAACGATAACCATCTTTGTCCATCTTTCTATGGTCTTATACGAAACTGTCCAATAAATAATATTGCATTTGTGCTTGCCTTTTTCATTTTGAATCATTACAAAAGTTGAACCATACCATTAAAGATCGTATATTTGATGTATGAGTGTAGGACATATGTAAGAACGCGAAAAAATCAGTGACAGGTGGTTTGACGTTTATTCGCCGCCATCGTTATTAGCGACAGTGACCTGCCATATTGCGCGTGATATAAAGACTGTAATACATTTACGTTATTACAGTTGTTACTTGTACATTCAGTGTGGAAGCCTATTGTTTATGTAGCAACAACAAATTGCAGAGGACCTCGTAATTCAGTTTGTGAGAAAACATTTCACGGTAGCAATTGCAAAACAGTGAGTAGAGTCTGCATTGTTGACATCAGAACTTTTTTTTTTATCGAACAGTTGTCATTAGGAAATTGAGTTCTGGATGTTCGTATTTATGAATCGAGGAACTGATGCTTTCGTACTTTTTTATATCCCGACACTTAGTAATACTAGTAATACTTTCCGATGACAGTAAAGTAATTACCGTGTAAGCTATTGTTGCTTTGTTGTTAATGTTTTGTTGAGAAATACATCTTTAAATGGATACTTCTATGTCTTATACTACTTTATAACACGACATATGCTTTTGTAAAACGTGATGATTTAGTGGAGTAACTGTACTTCATGTAATGTTGTTTAATATATGTAAATTTCTAATGATTTTATCTGTTGAATTCCTACAATGTGTATTGAAGTCTTAAATAGTATACAACTATAATTTAATTTTGTTATCAGAAATCTATGTTGTGACTCCAGATAATATTTGGCGTATCTTGTTATAATAATATAATTATAATAATTATTTATTAATTATTTAGATAATTCTTATATTGTAACATTGTACGATGATGGCAGTATAAGTTGATTCATAAGTGATAAAAATAATGTGTGCAATCAGTGTGTATCATGTGTCTACCAATTGAACAATTTATAATCATATGGGACATACTTTTAAAAATGTACATTAAGTATTTGATTATGTATATCATATTGATAAATTTATCACATTTTGAGGCATCTGTGTATATATATCTTATTTCGTACATATAGTTTACAATTCCATTATAAAGAAGACTGTATAACAAAATTCTGCATTTTGTGAATTATTTATTTACAGGTACAACATGTCGACCGGTCCTTATAATTACTCCTACATCTTTAAGTATATCATCATAGGAGATATGGGAGTAGGAAAATCATGTTTATTGCATCAGTTTACAGAAAAAAAATGTAAGTTGCAAATATTAGAAATAGAATTTTTATGAAGTAATATTTTTCATTTATTAATTTAAAGAAAACCTTTTCAAATTGATTATGAATGATATTCTATTATTGAATAAAGTACACATTTGTTCTACATTCTAGTTATGGCAGATTGCCCGCATACTATTGGTGTCGAGTTTGGGACAAGAATCATTGAAGTGGCAGGGCAGAAAATAAAATTACAAATATGGGACACTGCTGGGCAAGAACGTTTTCGAGCAGTTACTAGGTATATTCATATGTGTCCTATAACAATAGTGGTAACTTCACAGATTTCAATGACCTTGAAGTATGTTAAAAATGATAAACCCTAAAGTACAAAATAAGTGATGAAAATAATAGAAAATTGCAATTAATTTTCATATTAGAACTTTTTATTTGTTGTTATTCTCTTGCTAGTGAAACTTTTTGGTTTTGTTTTCATGACAATAAATGGTTTTTGATTATCGTATCATGGAAGGGAAAACTGAGCAATAAATACTTGTTACTTTAAAACAGTGTGACATATCTCCTCTAACATACTATAAGGTGACTGAAATCAGGAAGGTTGACGCTATTGTAAATAATGACCGTTTATCGGAATATTTAAACGTAAAAGTAGAATATAAAATATATGTATGTACATGCTGTAGATCATATTACCGAGGTGCAGCAGGAGCATTAATGGTCTATGACATTACTCGTCGTTCAACTTATAATCATCTTAGCAGCTGGCTTACAGATACAAGGAATTTAACAAATCCAAGCACTGTATGCAAAATATGATATTTTACATAATGGTATTTATGTCAGTAAAGTGTAACTACATTGATGCACAAATGTTGAATGATGTATTTTTTATTTTCTGTAAATAGTAAATTTGTAGGTAGCAAAAGACTTTACATGTTATACTTGCAGGTTATATTTTTAATTGGTAACAAAAGTGACTTGGAAGGTCAGCGGGATGTTACCTATGAAGAGGCCAAACAATTTGCCGACGAAAATGGTCTTATGTTTGTTGAGGCCAGTGCAAAAACGTAAGTTATTACTTAAGTTCATGAATAATTGAATTTATTATTAGTAGTATTATTGTTACTAATTTGCACATTAAATTTACTATTTTTTTAAATCAGCGGTCACAACGTTGAAGAAGCATTTCTGGAAACAGCAAAAAAAATATTCCAAAGTATACAAGATGGACGGTGAGTGGAAGAAATTTTTAGTAAAGTTGTTTGTTAGCATTATTTCTTATTGTTTCATGAACATTGTTGATACGACGAATTCTTTGTTCACAGTTTGGATTTGAATGCAGCAGAATCTGGTGTTCAGCATAATCCCAGTCAACCAGGACGTACCAATCTTCAAGGAGTATCTAATGAACAACAGGGAGGAAAAGATTCCTGCTCCTGTTAGGTCTTTATTTGTTTGTATATAGATATATGAATTCATCGGTACTATTAATGCATATATGATTTATACTAAGTATAGCAAGCAAATAGTCTCCTGTCTTTATCCCTTAACCTTTGATAAGTCAAATCTACTTAATGAACGATACCAATTTATTTCAAGTTAGAATTAATTTGCCAAATATGTTATAGAAACATATGACTCAGTATAAACATATACATGTAAATTGTATTGATAATAATGATTCTGTATTGGCATTGAGATTGACATTTTGATGTTACAGCTTTTGTATGATTATTGTAATTAACATACATTTTCCATAGATCGTATATTTTGTTGCATAAAAAAATCGAATATTAGACAATATGTTGCACTTACAGACCTTATGGTACACACGTACATACAAGGTGCATTGTACGAGATATTTACTTAATCACATGAAAATATGATAAATATGAATGTGACACAGTCAAATAAGATAAATATTTACCATTGTAAATTAAATTCGTGTAACAAGATTGGGCACGTCTGATCGTGTTTGTTATCTAGTTTACTGTTTGAAAGATGTACTATAAGCTTAGGTACAAAAAATTGTTGGTAACACATTTAAACTTAATAGCATACAAAAATTTGCCATAATATGGCATAATGAAACATGATTAATATTAATCCAATTATTTCACAATTGCAACTACAATTTCATATTGTATGGGGTGTACAAGTACCGCGAATTCTAAAGCTGTATTTTTCGTTTTCTGCTTGAAAAATATTTTAATTTTTAATATGGTTGCTATCTCTTTAAAATATTTCCATGTTGATAAGAACAATACTTAGTATATTGTTATTGTTGCTATTATTGTGAAAATTTCTTAGAAGAATCAGAAGTTAATCTTCTGAGTAGGGCATATTCTCGTACATGATATTATATCATGTTGATCCACATGATTTTTACACTGCTAAAACTGAAGTATTACATCAATTTATATAGTTAATATTATATATATTTTAAACTTCATTTATGTTCAATCTTACAACAGTGCTTACGAAGAATTTAGTTACGAAATTTATATAACTGTTCTCCAATTAGTCGTAATCCGAATTTTTTTCTTATATACGACGCTTACACATTGTCGGTAATACAAAATTAAAAAACTGAATTTACTGAAACTTATTTATTATTAGTTATATTTTTTTTTATTAATATAACAAAATTAATCGATATAGATGAGAAATTAAATCGATAAAAGAGTGATTACAATTGTATCCTATTTAATGTATGTAAAAACATTTTGCATTTGTATTGGCAGAGAAATGCAAAAGATCACTTCAAATAAATTTGACTGAAGCTTTTCAAGACTTTTCAAAACTAATTGTTCTCCTCTTACACATATATTACCAAATCGAAATTAAAAAGCAAACCAATATGTAAGACAAAAATATCGTACATTTTTCATTTAACATGCATTATTATTATTTAAATACATTTGAAGATTTAATTATTCATCATCATATTTTTCATATTTTGTATATATAAGGAACTCATGAAAATAAACATTTCTATTATGGCAGTAATAGAATTATTAACACCATATCCTTATTAATAAAGATGAAAGTCAAATTCTAACTAAAACATTTTAATATTTTTATCACAACATATAAATGTTTCGTCTTGAAACGACGATTCTTTTATTGCCTCACTTTTGTAGTGAAATAGACGTACTAAAGTGATTACAAGTGATTCATGCAGAAAAGTATTTATTGGTAGTCACGTTGCACGTCATTATCTTTTTAATTTAGCGTATCATATAATTATATGTTACGCTATGGTAAGCTATCACTGCGAAAATATACGCGATATCATTCAGTTTTATTATGTTAATAATATTTCCTGTATAATTTCATTACGATCTTTTGTTAAAGGTGACTAGGTATACAGATTTATATAAATATTGGAAACTTAAGAATTCAATAACAAAGCTTCCCATAACAATTTTTCGAGTCTTAATTGGTCTTAACATAATGTCAGTGGATACTTCAATTTTACCGCGAGAATTTTGTTATATAAATGCGATTTAGAAATACTGCGCGTAGATTCTTTCAAGTCCTTAAATTAGACGTATGATGTGTATAAGAAAAGAAACAGTTTACATTCCATAATAAGTCAGTGTGTCTTAATAAGATAACGAATTAATTTCACTTTGAATCTATTTATTTTTGCTCGATAATGACTTTTCAATGCATTTGTTATATGTTTATTATTATTACGACACTTCATTTGACAAAAGGGTGAGTTGTACTTTTTATATTTACTCTAACAATATTATTGTTGATAGTTCTTATCTTTTTTCAAATGATAACAAGTTTAATTTCTTCACTGAAACATGAAATTAAATTATTTACCTTATATAAATCGATTTGTACTTCGTTAAATTATAGGTATTAAAAATACTTTTACATTTCTTGTGTGGTCTTAAATTATTTTATTTAACTTAAAGTGTATACGTCGCTTTATGTTATAGATACTCTTATCTCATTGTCAAATAACGTAATGTTGCAAAAAAATATATTGTATGTAACATGTAGAAAATAACAGTGCTGTCGTTCGTTCCTATTATAAATGTTTTTCTGAAAACCGCGAATAATATTATCAATTATAAAAAATGTTAACAATACAATTTCTTATTGCCTTTATTTTTCGCGTTTATTATAACCTATTTTCTCGTGTTGATAACGCTTTACAAAAGATGCATAACTCGTAAGTTCTGTTTTATTGTTTGACACAACTGATTCGTCCTAAAAGAATAATATAAATCTAAAAAATAATTATTTTTTTGTTATATAATGAATTAGGAACAGAGAGATACTCTTTGACTTTACAACTATGGACAATGTGGACCATTGGCAAGAGATATCTGATACTGTTAGAACAGTAGGAATGTCAAAGGGTATTTTAGTATTGCAAACAACTCAAATTTTCCAACGTGCTGTATTTTTTACCCTATTGAATCCTCAACCAAATGGTGCTGGCTTTGCAGGAGTGCGAACAATGACAAATTTAAACTTATCAAACTTTAAGTATATTGAAATCACTTGTAGAGGACAAGGTAGCAATAGTCATTACAAAGTTGTTCTGAGGCACAGAGGTCTTCACTCAAACAAAGATATAACATATGAACAATTTTTCATGGTAAATTTTAGTTTTATTGTACACATTAGTTTTATTGTATTTTTAACAATAGTTCACTAGAAAAATTATATTATAGGCACCAATGTCAAATAGTACATTTTCAACTGTTACAATGCCTTTGAGCATGTTTAAACCATATTATCGTGGACAAGAAATACCTTATGCAGAACCATTGGATACTTCAAACATTACAATGTTTGGTTTACAAGTTTATGGTGGAGTCTATTTACCAATTAAACAAAAAGGTGTTTCCGCGTTAGAAATAGAAAATATTTTTGTATCATAACTTTTATATGAATGTACATATAAATAATTAAGGACAATTGTTGTACAGTATTTTGATAATATGTATATTTTGCTAGATAATAATATTTAATTCAATACAATGAATACCAAAATCTTGATCAAAGGGAAGTAAAAAGTGGGTTAATGTAGTGAATCAGTAGAATTATTTAATTGCTATAAAAGTGTACAATTTCTATAAAATTAAGTAGTAGTAAATGATTCTTTGTTAAATATTATAGCGGCATTTGTGATTAAATTTGGGATTACAAATGTAAGTCAATAACAATTTTTTAAATGTGTAAGAAGTGCACTTACATGTTTGTTCAAGACAATGATCGAATAAAAATAAATTTATGTTGACAATTTAATTAAATAGTTTTAAATTACCAATCATTCAGATAACATTCTTCAAGCGAATTGTATAGTTTAAGATCATGATTCATCCTGGAAGCAAAATATATATAAATATATACTTAGTATCTATTAAGGTGAACAACTACAAAAATGATTTACTTACGACTTAAATGCATCAACTACTTCTGGTACCTCAGATGGATGACAAACAATAGTTGTTTTACATTTTTTTGGGTCAAATAACGGTGTCAAATATTTAGATGCTACGCGAGCCATATCTTCAATTGTCACCGCAGATATACGTTCTACCATTTGTTGCGTGTAATTATGAGGAACATTTTTAAAATAACATAACAGTGACTGAAGTACCAAGTCACCCACAGTTTGTTCTCTCTCAATCATTTCAAATATTAACGATGATTTCGCTGATTCAAAAAGTAATTTCTCCCATTTGTTTTTGGAGATATGTAAATTCTATAATGGTATAAACATAGAGGATATAAATATTATAGATTTCATTATTTAAGTAAAAAAATGTATACTTACTACAATTGATTTTGCTTCTTTATATGCAGCAACAATATTTGTTGATCTATAAAATGATAAATACATCAAACCTTCGTTTGCATTTGAGTAGATATTATACCCATAAGAAAGACCTTGACCTCTAATTAATCTCCACATGGGACCCTTTGAAAGATATAGTCATTAAATAATGCAAATACATGTAGAACTTTTTTGTCACTTACCTCCAATTGAGTTAAGTATTGTAAACAAACAAGCAAAGACGCCAAGTCTGGATGTTTGTAATCGTTTATACACTGGCAACTTTGCGATAAAAATGAGGATTCTATACAACCTAATCCTGTAACACAGCCTTTAATTGGGATTTCTTTTAAAGGATTTATATATACTGAATCGGGAGTAACTTGAAGCCTATGTAATTAAATTACATGTTTAGCATATATCAATGTTATAATATATTTAAATTAAAAGAAATAGTAATTACTTAATCTTATCTGATTTGGCGAATTCAGAAAAGTGAGTGTTCCATGGACTGTATACATTTTGTATTTGAGTAGTTAACTTGTCCACGTTTGTTGCTATGTACAATGTCATATTTTTTGGCATTGTTAAAACTTTTCTGACAGATTCAATTTCTGATAATACTTCCGCTTGACCGTTTTCGTCATTTAACCGGTCTAAGACATTGGTCAGAAACTTTTGCTGCCGCAACATACTGGTTGAAAAGTGATTACTATCTGAAAGTTCAACATTATGCTATAATAGTTTTCTACAGAAATATTATATAATTTCCTGAAATAAATGTAATTGTTTACCTTTATTATATATTAATCCTTTCATTAAATCATTTACGATTTTATACCCTTTTCTCTTAAATTGAGCAACATCATTAATCGTTTTTGCTGCTACTATCTTCAATCTATCAGGAGTTAGCTCAGTTTCATATAAAAGTTCTTTAATCCATTGTACACCTTTTTCATATTTTTCTATTTCAAGCTAATTAACAAAAACAATCATTTTGAAAATACTGAACAATCACAATAGAACATTTTTGTATAAATGTGTATTACATGAAGTATCAAAATTGCACTGTTACTAAATGATCCACATGAAAATTTCGTAGGATTATCAATTCCAAGTCTAGTATCAGTTTCGACGGTATCTCCTTCTAATTCGGCCACTACTTCTTCATATGGAATAAGCCGTCCGCTTCGCTTAACTGGACACTCCATAATAACTTCCAACAATAAAGGAATGTAAGGTCTATATTTTCTTTCAATAGTTGATGTATTCATAATCGTGAACATCTGAAAAGAATTAAATAGTTAAGTAAACGCATGATCGAGTAGGTTTTCAATTGCGATTAAACAATAAACTTATACATACATAAACAAAATTTGTGTTAACATGATCTAGGTATGTATAAAATGGCAACTCTGGCAAGGAGAATCTAGCATGTTGTTCAGCAGTTTCTGTTGTATAACTTTTTATATGGTGAAAACTTATATGATCAGTAGTTGGTATAGGTACTGAACTCAACACTTCATCAGGTACAGGTACCTGAAATTAATTTAAATATTAAAAAGAATATATAAATACCTATATAACTGGACTTTCAAAGGGTACACACATTATTTTTAGCAATTGCTTCCTTCAACTCCTTCTCTTTTTGTTGAAGACCATCTTTACCTAAATCTTTTATTTGTTTAGCTATACGATCTAATTCTTTTTTTGCCAATTCCTGTCGTTTTTTTAAACTGGGAATTCCTTTAATTATTACTAGCGGAGAATCGAGGAAGTATTTTTTCAACAGATTTAGCCAATAAGATTCTGATTCGGTTTCCATTCGTTTGAGATCCCTTATTTGGTTTGACCTTTGATCCAACTAGATTTTTAAAAGCATATAGGTGATATTTACTACAAACCCCTTTAAATGAAAAGTATTAAATATTTTACTAAATTGATTGACGAAATTGACTTACATCTTCTTTGGTATTACCATAAAGTACATATCTAAAAAGCATTTGCGCTACTGCATCGTGAGGTTTATTTTCCAGTGTACTCAATGTTTCAAGAATACGTCTATGAACGACTGTATTCATTCGTTTCATATCAATGCCTTTTTTGAGTACATCGTTTAATGCCTTTAATAGTTCATCTTTTATAGATGAGATTTTTGACTTCGGTACACTTTCAAATTCAAGGTACAGAAGAGACACGGAGTATTTATAATAAGAGTAAGCGATATTACTGGCATATGGATCATCTATTTCAACAAATACTTTTTGCAATGGGCTAACTGATGTATCTGTGAGATATTTCATAAGCAACGTGCAACCAAGAAAATCATATAGTTCGTGAACGATAGATGGTCCTCGCCAAGCAACATTCACGACTCCATTATCTTCATCGTCACAAGGATAATATATATCTAAGTCTACACTTTCAGTGAGAGGTGGTACAGGACTTTGCCAAGGTTTTTTAAATAAACCTCGACTTCCCTGAAATATACATTGCTTCATTTTAATCTTATTTTAGAATAATCTGAATCTTATTATATTTTCTACATACTTTTGACATTATTTTCTGTTCTATAGGATGCAATGCTTTAAATACATCAACATGTTTTATTTGACCCGCAATTACTAATGTCAAATTTTCTGGTCTATAAAATTCCTTATGATATTGTTTTACTTTTTCATTATTAGTACTTTCTCTTAGATTTTGTAATGCTCCTAGAGAAATGCAATGGTTTTTTTAACATAAAATTAGTGTTTTATGTAATATATTCATATGAACAAAAATTGTTCTGTTGAGATAATTTTAGTTGTTACCTCCAGTATTGGATTTATAACCACATCGTCCAGGGAAAATTGCTCTACACAGTTCTATGTATACCAAATATTCTCCAATATTTTCTTTGCCTTGCATTTCACAATAAACCACACCTGCATCTTTTCCTTTGCCAGTAATATGATGTACTTCTGTAAGATAAGCTGCATCCTACAAACATGGTATATAATATGAGAAATAAAAATGTATAACTTTCATATTATAATTTATATATTAGTAAATTACCATACCGTAAGTGTTGGATAAAGAATGTGTTCAAGATATACAGGCATCAAGGATAAAAATCCTTCGCTACCGGCAGTTGTCATAGTATAGTATGTACTATCAGTAAGTGTTGCAGCATTAGTGCCAGATGCTAAGCATCTATTAGCCCATAAGTCTAAGACACCTTTGTATGGATATTCTTCGCTTCCCAAAAAAATAAGATGTTCCAATGTGTGAGGTAGTCCATCATCATCGAATGCTTCGGTAGCTAAGTAATAAATATGTCATGTGCAATTACATTATCACATATATTACCATTCCAAAGTTATGATATATTGAAATACAATTTCATACTTCAAGAGATTGACAGATATAAAGACAAGGAAAATTACCGAAACCGAAATAGCCACTAACAACAGGTCCATCAACTTCTGCTATACAAACGGTAATTCCGGTATTTGTAGATTTATAAACATGTATTGGTATTATATCTTCAGCTTTTACCGAGTATACAAGTTCAAATCCTCCCATATTTCCCCTTGGTGAATTGTCAACAGGCGCCATGTTAAATTAAATTTCTTCCAACATTCAAAGAACTTTAAACGAACACCAATACCTAGGTTCAAAAGTTTGAAGATACGTAGCTTATTACGAAAAACAATCAACAAATTATTGAAAATGTTAAGAGGGCGTCGAAGACAGTGAATATTTGAGATACTTATTTTTAGAACATTTTTATTATACTTCGTTCAACAAGGAAAATTTATGATTACGATTACAACAAAATTTCATTGGTCGGCTGTGTTTCTGCCTAACAATGTATGTATGTTATGTTCGTGAGGAAAGTATAGCGTAGATTAGGTGCATTTTCAAGGTAAACGTATGAATAACATTGAAGAGTAGGAAGTGTCATGTGTATAACTATACACGTACATCGGTAACATCGTGATTAATCTAAACCAACCTAAACGTAAAGTAAACAAAACATTCTTTGACAATTATGGCAAGGTATTCTAGTGAATCAGATTCCGATCACAATAGCAGGTATCGAAGAAGACGTAGTAGGAGATCTAGGTAAGCATCATCTTAAAAGTTTAATAATATGGGTAATATATGATATGGAAATATGTTATACGACATAACTGTCATATATTTCATATTCGTATCTTTTGACTATATATACGTAATGAAATTATGATTTTATTTTAGATCATCTAGTTCAGATTCCAGTGATTCATCTTCTCACAGAAGAAGATCATCTAAACATTCGAAAACAAAACGTAGATATCGTTCGCATTCTAGAAGCCGAGGTAGAGACAGAGATCACAGTCAAAAAAGTTACAGAGGTTCTAGAAACAGTAGCTCGAAAGGTAGAGAAAGACATAGATATCATTCTAAGTCGCGTTCGTCCGATCGCTCAAAAAGGAAGGCTAGGTCTGCTTCAAGAGAAAAATCAGGTAGCCGTTCGAGTAGTTCACAGTCAAATGTGAAAACTAACGTACCTGAGAAGCCTAAGAATGTAGTAATAAAAGGTATAATTATCATAGTTTCAAACATGGTCTGTATTACTAATATGTTAAAAAAGTATAGGGTTAACATGCGATTATTTTTTCCAGACGATTTTCCAATAGAGCCACGTTTTAAAGAGGGAGTTTTAGATGAAATAAATTCTGAAGGTTTTGCACCTAAGCAATTTGTATCATCTAATGCAAAGGAAAAGAAATTTAAAAATATTGTTATAGATATTACTGCAGACACTATACAAGTTCCAACAGTGGCTGATGTTCCTTCTGGGTCTGAGAGTGTTTTTCATTCATCGGTATTGTATCATTTTACATTAGCTATAAGCATACATTTGTATGATTTTTTATTCTTATGTTTTTTTTTTGTTTTAGATAATGCTTGATCAAGAAGCAAGGTTTGACAAATGGGTGAAAAAGTTGTATACCCTCAGGCAGAAAGCTATAGTAGATTTAATACATTCAAATGTCATTTAATAGCTGAATAATTTTATCGTATTTTATCAAAGATACATAATAAATAATTGTTATTTAAACTTGCATAATAATGTATATAATTTAAATATTAAATGCTGTTTCTTACTTCAGCTGTATGAAAAGTTAGGTTAAGAAATAAAGGAAACATGAGAAATATGTTACTTTGATACTTGACGTTTTCGATAAAAGAACTTCTCCTCTTGTGAGTTTCCGGTATTTTTGCTCAAATGAATAGCCATCTGGCGATGAATATGCCGAACTATTTCTCGAAGTTTGGTCAGCGTCTCTGTCGGGAAAACGCCCAAGTTTGTCCTCAATAGTTCCTTTTTCCACTGCTAGATGACGCAATTTTACGTAGAATTTACCACATCACGGTACTGTATCGACACGTCGGTAAATAGCAATATAAATGGCGCCATCTAGCAGTGAAAAAGGGAACTAAACGAGGACAAACTTAGGCGTTTTCTCGATAGAGGCGCTGATCATACTCCTAAAATAGTTCGGATGTTCACCGCTAGACGGGGACACCAATTTTACGCGGGAAATTTGAATTTCTTTTTATTTAATTAAATTAAAGTTCACTGTTCTGTCAGTATAGCAATCACTTGTTCTCTTTTATGATTATGTTTCATAATATATTTATTGTATTATCTTATAAATCGTCACTTTTTACCGCGATTTAAATATAAAAAAAAATTCAATTAATAAGCATAAAAGAAGATACAAGTATAAGGTTTAAGTCATAGCGTTACAATGTTATTTATGCCACGCACATCCATACAATAATTCGTAAAAGACATTCACGACAGCGTGAAAGGTGTGAGTGAAAAATTGAACACATTATGGCCTACCGCAACTTTTATTTATGCGGACGTTCGTTTCTACAGCTACATTTTAAACATCGTTAAAATATACATAATACGATAAATAGTAATAAATACAAAATATATCTTAACAAACGTTAAATATTAGCGTACATCTAATTATGGTCGTGAAATCGTAGGTAAATTGGTCGTGAGTTAAGAAAAAGTAAATACTTCCGATGTTCCATCGAGGAACACGAAAATCGTACGCGTGAAATTACACAAGCGTACATATGATAGTAACCAATCGATGAGCCTTATTGTATACGTTGAAAATACGCGTTGATAAAAAAAAAAAAGAGAGAATGACGCTGCGTTTGCTAAGTCAATTAAGCGACACCGTTGATATTATTTCAACGTACGATTTTATCATAAATATAATGTATCGTACGTATGCGATTAATATCTAACGGTATCGTTTGCTCCTAAGTGTCGACTGTGAGGTGTTTGTGTGTATCGTATGAACAATTTCCATTTTTATACTATAGTAATACTATAGGATACCACGTCTGAAACAAACGAAGCGTTTACTCCTCGAAAGCATGCTCGTTTTATATAGTCAAACGAGCGATCGTTTTCTACCCTCCATATTCGTTAAACCGGAATTAGTTCTAAAACGATCGAGTACATTAGACATCGACGTGAAAATTGAATCTTGCTAAGGTTATCGTCGTTTATAGTTACAGTTGCGTTTCTACTGTTCCAGACGAAGACTATCCTATCCTTTATGATAAACGTTGCCCTATGCATTCCCTTTTTGTAGCACACGTGACATATGCGTATATATATCACTACACCTAGACGAGTATTTAATATTGGTACCCTCCGTTGGCCGCGGCATCACCGCCACTTCCAGATGGATATCCTCCATTACCGTTGCCACCATTTCCGCCTGGTCTTCCAGATGGATATCCACCTAGAAACGAAAAATACAAAATGTAACAGGTTCTCTTCAAATTTCGCAAAGGTTAGCATGTTACGCCTTAAGGCTCGAAAATATTTATCGATTGTTTGTTAAGGTTAAGAAGCATATTAATTGTTCGAATTGAATCAAACACGAGACCATATCATTGTTTTAAACGAATAATTGTATTATTTTACCGTCACCGAAGTCGGAACCACCGCCGTTGCCACCTGGCCTTCCAGATGGATAACCGCTATTTCCGTTTCCTCCGTTTGGTCCACCAGACGGGTATCCACCGTTTCCGCCGTTTCCATTTCCGTTAGGACCTCCGCTTGGGTATCCATTATCACCACCGTTTCCACCTGGTCCACCAGATCCGTATCCTTCGGAGTTAGCTTCGCCCTCGTATCGGATCTGAGGCTTGAATCCATCCTCGTCGGCCTCGTACTCAACGATTTGCTTCCTTCCATCGGGAAGAAGAACGTTGAACTCTCCCTGGGCGCGATCTCCGTCTCTGGTTTCCGTGTGACCGTAATCAGCTCCAGACTGCTCGTCCTTCACCTCATAAGAGAATTCGTACTTGGCTGGTTCCTAAACGATAAGCAGTAGTTTCCCCAATTGTCCGTGACATGACAATGACATCGTAGACATCGAAACGTGAACGCGCAAATCGTGCAATGCAAATTAGAACAACGTTTGATAAATCTATGAAATATCTACGTAATGCGAACGAAGATCAAAACGAGTTTTCGTTGCAGCTTCGAAATAATTTGAGAATGAAAGGATCGTTCTAGTTGCGCGTAGAATCTTTACTCACGTTACTTTCTTCGTCTCCATTTCCGCCGTAACCACCGCCATTGCCGTTGCCATTTCCTCCCGGTCCGCCAGAGCCGTAACCACCGTTACCATTTCCATTGCCACCCGGGCCTCCCGAGGGATAACCACCGTTGCCATTTCCATTTCCACCTGGTCCACCCGAGGGGTAACCACCGTTGCCACCTCCGTTTCCACCTGGTCCACCCGATGGATATCCACCGTTGCCACCTCCGTTCGGTCCTCCAGACGGGTATCCACCGTTGCCCCCACCAAAACCACCACTTCCACCATTCCCACCGTTATATCCTCCATTTCCACCACCGTTATTTCCGCTTCTGCCAGGTGGCCCGTAGCTGCTCGACGGTCGTCCACCGTTGCCTCCTTGTCCGTTTCCATTCCTTCCCGGAGGTCCATAAAGACCGGATGGAGGTCCACCTCCGTTGCCACCGCCGAAACCATTTCCACCTTCGGGTGCTCCGTAACTGCTCGATGGTCTCCCGTTTCCTGAGCCCCCGTTTCCGCCACCAGGTGCCCCGTAACTGCTCGATGGTCGTCCATTCCCTCCACCAGGTGCTCCGTAGCTGCTCGATGGTCGTCCACTTCCTCCATCGGGTGCTCCGTAGCTGCTCGACGGTCTTCCGTTTCCAGCGCCCCCGTTACCACCATTCGGTGCTCCATAACTGCTCGACGGTCTTCCGTTCCCCGAGCCCCCGTTTCCGCCACCAGGTGCCCCGTAACTGCTCGACGGTCTTCCGTTCCCCGGGCCCCCGTTTCCACCACCAGGTGCCCCATAACTACTCGATGGTCGTCCATTTCCTCCGTCAGGTGCTCCGTAGCTGCTCGAGGGCCTTCCATTACCACCGCCTCCGTTTCCACCAAAGCCGTTTGATGGAGCTCCGTAGGAGCTGGATGGCTGACCACCCCCGAAACCACCCCCGTTTCCTCTGCCGCCGCCGTTCGAGCCGGGTCTTCCGCTTCCAGAACCACCGCCGTTGTAACCGTTTCCATTAGTTGGTACCCCGTAGCTGTTCGACAGACCACCTCCGTTGCCACCCCCGCCGCCACTCTGGCTGTCGAAACCAGGTGGTCCGTAGGTGTTCGACGGACCTCCACTGCCTCCTCCGTTGCCGCCTCCTGGACCACCGCCTCCTGGTGGCAGATACGAATTCACTGGGGGCTCGGAGCGCACCAGAGTGAGGGCCACGATGAACACTGCTAGTCCGATCTGCAAAGACGCGATTTAGGTTAACAGACTAGTTACTACGCGATCTTCTATCCAAGTTTTGCTAATATTAAATTTACAAGTGATCTACTCCAAATGTGGGGAAACTATATTTGAGTAAATATTTCTGTGCGATATTTCGAGGAATTAAGATATCCCTTAAAGACAGTAGATGTCTGGGAAACGTTTATCCCGTTTCTAGAAACAATGAATAATTGGCCTTTATCTTTTGTAGCGTTCACGTGAAATAAAAAGAAGTCACGAGGACCGAGATTTGGGGAACCGTGGCACTACCACAATTTTTTTTTTTTTGCTGTGAAAGACTTATCGAGTCCTAATCGATGTCGCAAATATCGCGGTCTCTCTGTCCCAACAATACGGCAATTACGTTCTCCATCCCTTCGCAGACGGATCCTAGTACAACGCGTTTCAATTGTCCTCGAGATCAGACTCGGTCTTCCCTCGCGATTTCGCCACGACATTCCGGGTGTAGAGGCAATCCTCGCCGCGAGCTTCTTCCTATTCGATGCTTATCAGTTGCAACAGATATAATTTTCCTTCCACCTCTGGCCTCGGTTTCCTCACCTTAGACATGGTGCTGATCCGGCGGTTCCTTCGTCGAACAATAAAACCTCGTTTTCCCTCGTTTATCCTTGAGAAGGTGAGCCTGACGAGATCACGCGAGGTGGCTTGGCACCAGGTACGCCTTTGCGCTCCTGCGTTCGAGGGACTACCTTGACTCGTGTGCGAACACCTTCCACCGTGGGACGGTGTCGAGGGAATGACAAACTTTGGTTCTAATCCGCTTTATATATCCCGGGATTCATCCGTGTTTCTAGATCATGGTTTGGTGCAAGCGGTAGGATTTACAGCGGAGGCACACCGTGTAACTGTGTCACGGTGGTGTTGAATCAGTCGGTGACGGTAGTGATGGTGAAGAAGAGTAGGGACCGCGGTGCAGCAGCCACCTAGTGCACGGGTTTCGTTCCATATTTCACGGGTTACGAATCCTATATTGTAACGCAATGCAGCCGGCGCATCATTAACTTGGTGGCGTCGCTCTTCTACGCTGGCGCTTCTCTGTCGGTTAGACGAGCGATCCGAAGAAGGATGCAGGACTTCGTAAGGATAACGGACCTTCTAAGGATGGCAACTTGGAGCGCTCGTCTTCGTTAACCGGCTTGATTAATACTGCTCGTCCTCGCATTGGGACTTTCACGAAATTGTTTGATGCCTCGTGCTCTTCCTCGACGTACGCGCCGTCGAATGTAGACGTTGGGCAACGTTAAACGAGCGCGCTAATTACGAGATAACCATCTAATTAGGAGCTGGAACGTTATCTACCGATGGATGATGGATCGGGTGCGTTCGATTGATAATTAATTCACTGTTGAATTCCTCATCCCTCTCGAACAACCCTTTGTTATATTCTTCATTTATCGGGAGTTTGATTACTTGATTTATTAATGCGACGAAACTCGGCGCAAGTTGGAGATTCGATTGATTATGAAATCAAATGACTCGCACGTTCAGCGAGTGCTTTGTTGCTCATCGGTTGCCCTAAAAATGCCGGACTGGTTCGCGATCATCCATTTAATTTCGCAAGCTGTAAGTAGCCTTCGACATGAATGTCATGGATTTGATACGGTCCAATTTTTGTGTGGCGCAATACACTTTCCTTGTACTCTCAATTTGGTAATCTTCTGGTACACGTAACTCCAGAATGTATTCTTCGGTGTTCCATTTTCACGATAATCAATGTTACTTCACGGAACGTTCGGGTATAATTGCTCTTTATAGAAGGTACTATACAGATGCAACCAACAGAAACGAGTAGCAGAATCTCGATATAAAACTGTAACTAATATGTTTAGGAATGTAACAACTCCTCAATGGCCATGATAATAAGATAGAACGTAGATTTATTATTCAATTAATAAATGAAGATTATACGATCCTCTCCGGGTGCGATATAACAAGTGTGAAACGAGCGGTTCCATAATTTAAGAAGAGTGCGAACGCCTAAACCGTGGTATGATAAATTACATGTTATTATACTCGAAGAGAAGCGTATAATCTTGTAGTCAAATCGTCGCGAATAAAGTGCTAAATTAATTCTACAGTGTTTGATCGATGTGATCGGAAAGATACGTTATATAAAATTCACGAATTGATATTTTTCTTTCTAATATTAAAGTATTTGTAAATTAAATTAATATTTTTTTTTTTTATGGTAGTGACAACTTCCTTTATTTAAAAGAAAAGAAACCGAAGTTGCAAGCATCAGTGTTTTGAAAGTTCCTGTATCAGTACGACATCGACGTATCAACAGTTTTTCTGAACCGCAATCGGGGACATCCAGACCTTTAAACTTCTAACATTTGCACGGAATAATATATAGCTTCTCTCGATTAGATTTGGCAAAAAAATGTGGCACCATCTACGTGCACGAAACCGGGTCCGAAAGATTCTATAAAAAGTACGATCGCGTAATTCATAGAGGGAGGACTTGAAAGGAGAGATGGCAATTAAACCTATTATGTCCCGCGCAGTTATGGCAACGATGTACTTTCTGCCAGCGAGACTTTCTCATACATACGTTTTTACGACGTACACGTCATTGAGACATGAAGGGGTTAAGAACATCGCTGCTTAAAATGTACATACGTGAATCTTGATCAGCTGGAATCAATGCATTTTAATCATATCCTTTAGCATGGAATTATGGTCTACGCTAGATAAGTGAACGGATTGAACGAAGAGATGCACCGAATCCTACCGAATTACGCAACCTCGCTTTCGCATAACTCACGCAAATTTCAGTGGAATTCGCGTCGTTTCACATGGTACCCGATAATTGTTCCGTGTCATCCGTGCCCCGAGGTGAACGGAATTCTGTTCGAACGAAAATGACGAAACCCCCGCGCGACGATTTATTCGTTCGCTATTCGTATAATTCGTTCATCCGTTCGAAATTTTGATTCGTATTTTGTCCCATCCATGCGTCGCACGCTGGTCGTTCGCCATTTCACCGTGGAAACCGTGAGACGTCGAATATATCGTGGCCGCGTCTTAATTAATTTCGTCGGACTAATTAGGCTTGATTTATTTTAATTATTCGGAAAAACGTCGCGCCGCGAAATTAGTAGGGCAGAAACGAAACGCAGACACGCGGATCCGAACTGTCCAACGTATACACACGCTTGCATCCTGGATGCAGGAGGTTTGTGCAATCAGTGAACTCGTGCTGAATACAGGTGGTGGCAACGTGGGATGTTGGTTAAGATAGGGATACATTATGCAAGATTGCGTCACGGGTTTATTGTATCAGCACCTCATCGTACACGAGTGAGATAGCGCGGCCGGGGTACCTTGGATTTTTACGATCGAAGATTTATAGTGTTCGCGAATCCTGAAATTCGTCTTAATCGGTTTAGAACAGTTTCGATTGTATCTCGCCGTGTCCGTTTTATTATACATCGACTACGTACCGTGGCGCGTTGCGAGAGACCCGAGGAATCCTCGTGCATAAATTGCATCGCGCAACACCGCCGCGAGTATTCAGATTTAATAAATGACCGGAGGCGAACTGTTTTATGCTTGATAAAGCTGATGCTCCCCGTGGCATTGATGCATCGCCACGGGAAAAGCTGGCGTCGAAATTTGCTCGGGACCCGTTTGAAAAAATTAACGCAGCCGTCGCTTGCAACACGATTGCGACGACAACTTTTCTGGCGGTCGTATCGCTCCGAAACTTCGGAATTAATTCCTGGCCGCCCTCTTCTTCTGCGCTCGCTTGCCTAATCGACTCGTTCTATGGAACGATAAGTGGAGGACAGTGACAGCGTGGTGTTCGTTGTTTGTTAAAATAAAATTAAGTATCGATAGCCTAGCTTATCATGAAATTCAAATCATGAAATTCAACCCTCGGCGACTTTTGCATCGCAGGTTTCTAGAAAAAAATTAATTTTAATTCCATTACATATAATATTCCTTTTTATAACAATGGAGATAAGAATTTTCCTTACTTCTGGAAATACGTAAATACCATCCAACGATCCTGGTGGAATGCAAGATTTTTATCGAGAAAGTATTGGCTCGAATTCTTCTTCAAACTCATCGCGCGAGATTAATCTCTATTGTGCTGAGAGTAAAAAAGACATCACCGTTGAAGAGTAAATGAGCATGAATAAATGAAATTATGAATGGCTAAATTAACTCGGGGAACTTGCTTAATGGTTTTTCCGATGATTATCTCCACGGCGGTGCGTCAACCGAGGAAAGATAGCAAATTGGTTTCGGAGATAACCGTTACGTAAAGCAATTGCTCTGCCTTGAGTACGTATGCAACTTTTGCAGTTTTATGCACTCCGATTGTTTCTCCACGACATCGCAAGAGCACATCAAACGAGTAATTTATTATGCTCGTTATATCGCGTACGCTTTCCTTTGCAAACCGCAATTTCTGTAATCGTCTCTATCTCTTAAATGCTTTATGATTTTCTTCTTTCACTTCCAGTGTGAGTGATTCGCTAATGATAATTACTTACTCTTTGTTACCTTTAGTCTCGTTCGCGATTATCTTATTCCTCGCGGCGGTTTCGGTTCTAGCTATTCGTAGAAATTTAACATTAGGAAACATTTTCAGTACCAGCAACGAAGAAAGCGTGGACATGTGTCCGCGAAGATTAGGTTTACTTGTTAATTATACGGGTAATTATGTTTTATTAGGAGAATGCTACGGACGTAGTTGTTCAAGCTAAAATCAGAATAGAAGTTTAAAAGGCGTTTGTTATCATTTTCGATTTTTCCCTTATTTCTGCCTGCAATCTTCCCGATAAACCTCCCTGTATATTTATTTAGAGGACTCGTATCTATAGGAAAGAAGAGTCTGGCGAGGGAGAAATAGTGAATACACGGTACAAATTTAGCAATTCTAAGCACGTTATCACGATATCACGATCGATCGTCGATAGGGATAGTTTTATCGGCGGGTATGCACATTATAATAGGATGCATCCGTTCTAAACAGCGACCATTTATTCCGATGATTCAGAGCGTGCTTTCTCTGGCCGAGCAACCGCGATGTATACCCATTCGATGCACTGGTATAATCGGAGGAGTTTCACCACTTCTTATTTGATCTGTGAAAGTGTTGAAGGCCTGCGCCTGAAGATGAGCGCTCGTGCTACAGTTAGGTAATGTTCCTTTGCCCGATCTAATTTACTGTCCCTACATCGATCTACAACTGTCTCACCGAATTGCAACACCCGTGCCGTTAACGATGCAATACGGTTAGGCGCTTACGTTTCTGATATAATGCGGGCGACTTATTGCTGGGTAACATTGTTACGCGCGACGGTGGCGAGTCATGCAGGCCCTCGTAGGATCCAACACGAAAAAGAATTTCGAAGGCTCCACCCTCGAAGAGAAAAGGAGGAACCGTTGAGATAACAGAATATATTAACTACGTGTCGTAAGAGAAGTACTTATCCTAGAATTCAGAAGCAATATATTTAGATCTCAATACGTGAATTTTATTTTGTCTTACTAAATTCTGGATGAACAGTGTAAAGCCTTCGTTAACGCCTCGG